TTTGGCTCCTCTGTAGTGCCTGATTTTATACATGCTATGATTCCCAAAAGAATTGGGACAAAGGCAACCTGGGGGTTTTTCCCTTCCTGCATTTCCCATTTCCTAGTTAAAAAGAGGACCTGCATTCATAATGATTGGTCCCAAATGTTTTCAGGTGATATCCAGAGTGTGATAACAGAAGCCTCACTCAAAAAATTTTCTAAATGAGAGGTTTTAACTCTTATATCCCTGGTCAGAAGCAAAGCTTTTAAGAACTCTGAGTTGGGGATCCCTGATGGCAAAAGGGAAGTTTCCCATGGCAAGAGGACAATAGGCAGGGAAGATAGTATATATAAGCAACCATAAAAATTCTACCAGGTAATGTTACAGCTGATAAACACATCATTTCATACAAGGTAACTAAAAACATCAGTAGCCATCTTATATGCAAATGATAAAAAGGCTGAGAAAGAAATCAGAGAAACAACACACTTCACAGCAGCCACAAACAATATAAAATATATTATGGTAACTCTAACCAAGTAAGTTAAAGACCTATATGACAAGAAATTCAAATCTTTGAAGATGGAAATTGGAGAAGATATCAGAAGATGGAAAGATCTCCCATGCTCATGGTTCTATAAGATTAACAAAGTTAAAATGACCATCTTACCAAAAACAATCTACAGATTAAACTCAATTCCCACCAAAATTCCAACAAAATTCTTTACAGAACTTGAAAGAATAATATTTAACTTCACCTGGAAAAACAAAAATTCAAGGACATCTAAAACAATACTGTACAGCAAAAGAACTTTCAGAGGTATCCCCTTCCCTGATCTCAAGCTCTACTACAGACTATAGTAATAAAAACAGCATGGTAGTAGCATAAAAACAGACAGGTGGGTCAATGGAATTGAATTAACAGTGCAGACAAAAATCCACACACTTATGGATACCTGTTTTTTTTTTTTACAAAGAAGCCAAAATTATATACTCAAAAAGAGAAAGTATCTTCAACAAATGGTGCTGGCATAACTGGAAGCCAGCAGGTAGAATGCAAATAGATCCATATCTATCACTCTGCACAAAACTCAGGTCTAAGTGGATCAAAGACCTCAACATAAATCCAGATACACTAACCTTGATAAAAAAGACAGTGGGAAATAGCTTTGAATGAATTAGCAGAGGAGAAAACTTCCTGAATAGAACACCAGTAGCACAGACACTGAGATCAAGAATTAATAAATGGGACCTCATGAAGCTGAAACATATTTCTAAGGCAAAGGACACTGTCAGTAGAACAAAATGGCAGCTAACAGAATGGGAAAAAATCTTTACCAACCCCACATCTGACAGAGGCCTGATCTCTGAAATATATAAAGAACTCCAGAAAACTAGACACCATAAAACCAAATAAACCAAATAAAAAATGGAGTACAGACCTAAACAGAATTCACAACAGAAGAATCTCAAATTGCAGAGAAACACTGAAATGTTCAAAATCCTTAGCCGTCAGGGAAATGAAAGTCAAAATGACTCTGAGGGTCCATCTTACACCTGTCAGAATGGCTAATATCAGAAGCATAAATGGCAGCTTATGCTGGAGATGATGTAGATCAAGGGGAACATTCTTCCATTGCTGGTGGGAATGCAATCTTGTACAGCCACTTTGGCAATCAACATGACAGTTTCTCAGAAAATTGGGAATCAATCTACCTCAAGACCCAGCTATAACACTCTTGGGCATATACCCAAAGGATACTCAATCATACCATAATGACAGTTGCTCAATTATGTTCATAGCATCTTTGTTTATACTAGTCAGAACATGGAAACAACCTAAATGCCTCTCAACCAAAGAATGGCTAAAGAAAATATGACACACCTGCAGAATGAAGTATTATTCAGCTGTTAAAAACAACAACATCATGAAATGTTCAGCAAATGAATGGAACTAGGAAAAAAACATCCTGAGTGAGGTAACTCAGACCCAGAAAGACAAACATGGTATGTACTCCCTCACAAGTGGATATTAGTTGTAACTCAAGGACAATCATGCTACAATCCATAGACTCAGAGAGGCTAGGTAACAAGGATGGCCCAAGGGATGACACATGGATATCCCTGGCAAGGAGAAATAGAAGAGATTTCATGGGTGCACTGGGGGTGGGTGGTGACTGGAACATGAGGGATCAGGTTGAGGGTAGATTGCAGGGGGAGAATATTGAAAGTGATTACTAGTCCTAGAAATCTAGCCAAATACACAAAGATAGTGAGATCATATATCTTAGATTAACTACTAACACCTCTTTACTAGGGGTGGTATATAATTCCAAATTTCATTCTAAATCTTATCTTTATACCCACAGATAAATGTAGCTCTCACCCCTCATCAGAGAAACTTCTCTCTGTAGCACATGAATGAAACAGAGGCCATGACAAGAAAAAGTCACGCTGGAGAGATAAACAAAATGTCAGGAGCCAAAGCCCAAAGAATACATCTACAACATAGCACAACTCCTGACATTGGATTCAGGAAACATCACAGAAGAAACAGAAGTATTTTAAGAGCCAGAGGACAAGAAATTCTACTATGGGATTGTGTCTCCTAAAAATGAAAAGGAAGCTATACCCATGACATTGCAACAGTATTGCTGCCCAAATGAGACCTGGGCAATGATGGTAAGGGGGAAATAGAACAGGGTTCCACCCCTAGATAAGAACTCTAGGCAACTAATGACTACTGAGAGAAAGAAAATTTACCTGTCAAGAAATGAGACCCCCCCTAATTGGTTACTCAATACAATGTGGTCAGCCCTGAGATAAAAAAAAAATGGACTGATCAGGTTATATTTATAAATACATGCATATTTATATGTAACAATAATAAAGAAAAAGAGACCACCAATTAGAGAAGATGTGGGGTATGAGAAGAGAAGGAAGGATGGATGAAGTGATGTAATTATATTATTTAAAATAAACTAATATAAACACAATATTATATTATTTAAAATAAACTAATATAAATACAAAATTATATTATTTAAAATACTATAAAAAATAAACATTTTGAGATTTCATCTTACCTCACTCAGAATTTATTTAGATAGATAGATAAATATTTAGATAGATAGGTAGATAGATAGATAGATAGATAGATAGATAGATAGATAGATCATGGTGTGGATGTAATGAAAGGGGAATATTTACATTTTGTGAGAGGGCACCCTGGTGTAGCTGCTGTGGAAGTCATGCACTAAGGACAGGTCCTGATCGCACTGCCGTTGGGTGCTGTGGGATGGTCTGTATGTCAAATGTGTTGCTGATTGGTCAATAAATAAATCACTGATTGGCCCGTGGCCAGGCAGGAAGTATAGGCGGGACAAGGAGGAGAATAGAGCTGAGAAGTGGAAGGCTGGGTGAGGGAGACACTGCCAGCCGCCATCAGGACAAGGAAGATGTAAAGTACCGGTAAGCCACAAGCCACGTGGCAAGGTATAGATTAATAGAAATGGATTAATTTAAGCTATAAGAACAGTTGGCAAGAAGCCTGCCACGGCCATACAGTTTGTAAACAATATAAGTCTCTGTGTTTATTTGGTTGGGTCTGAATGGCTGTGGGACTGGCGGGTGTCAGAGATTTGTCCTGACTGTGGGCCAGGCAGGAAAACTCTAGCTACAGTTGGGCCCCCTAAACAGTTCAAGATAAACAACTGTCTCACTTATTCAGAGGGCCAAGTCAAATACCATGGGGGCTCTAAGCTGTTGGTTCACAATTTAGGTGTTTCCACTAGTTTGACTAGTTGTCTCTGTACTTTTTCCAATCATGGTCTCAATATCTCTTGAGACACTTCTTTTTCACAGTAGTGGTTAAGGCAAAGACTCATAGCTGGTCAAAATACAGAGTATAAGTAACTGAGAGCTCATCCATGGATGAATCTGCTATATTAACCTTCACTCACCAAAAGTTATAAGGATATCACAGAAAAGCATGCCGAAAGAATGAAAGAGACAACCAAGTCAGAGATTTAAAATGCAGATTTCTGTAAATAACGTAACTGCTGCATACTCCAATTAACAGTACCTTTGGTTACCTACTCAAGATCAAACTCTTCAAAGTTCTAACATGAATTGTGAAGGATGTGTCTAAGGGCACACCATTGGAGGGGCTATGAGCAACTGATGGTTTCTGAGAAAGGGAAAGTCACTCCTTTTGGAGAAATGGCCTCTGTTAGGTTGTCCATGTTCTAGTAGGTGGACTCACACACATGGGCACATGGGCAACATTAGTGGACTCAGAGGGTTATTAATAATCAAAACAGAAAGCATGAAGTTGAGAACACGACAGACTGGGACCACTACAGAGAGTTGAAGGGAAGAAATGGTCAACGGATAAAATCAAAATATATTGTCTACATGTATAAGTTCTTGAAAGAATAAAACAATTTTAAAAAGTACTCTAAGACAATGTGATTGTTTGAATAAGAAAGGCCTCCATAGGCTCATATACTTGAATGCTTGAATTAGGAAGTAGGGCCTTGTAGGAGGAAATGTGTCACTGGGAATGGAGTGGGCAGTGAGGTTCCAAAAGGCCATGCCAAGTCCAAAGTCTTTCCTCTCTCTGCCTATCGATCGGGAGGTAGTTTTCAACTACTGCTCCAGAGTCTGCTGTCATGCCACCGTGTTTGCTGCCATGATGATAATGGCCTAAACCTCGGACACTGAAACAAGCCCCAGATTAAGTGCTTTCTCTTGTAATAGTCGCTTTGATCACGGTGTCTCTTTACATCACTAGAACAATGGCTAAGATAGTTAGGCTGTGGTTCAAGTCATATAGTTAAAATAAGGAATCACTTGTAGGCCAAATTTAACATACACACTATTTGACACTTTTTAAAATTTTTCCAACCTAATATTTTATTAATCATTTGAGAATGTCATACAACATACCTCAATTACACTTGCTTCCCATTCCTCCCAGGTCCACCCTCCCACCCTTGTGGCATCCTCCCCCAGAATAGAAAAAATACAATATAACAAGTCCAATCGGTGTAACCCTTATACTCATTGGAGCATGGTCAAACTTGCAGTGGCCAGCCCCTTAAAAAGGAGTTGTTCCCCAACCCCTGCCTGAAGCCATCAACTGTGAAGAGCTACAGTTAAGTATTTTTATTACAACTTTCAAGGACTCTCCAATAAGATCCTGTCTGGATTTTCTTTTGGGGGATATGGTGGCACAGACGCCTTCATTGTCTGTCTGAATTTCAGTTATGATTCTACAGTCATTGATACCACTGCAAAAGAAGCTCCCTGCCAATAGAAGTCAGTGGCAGTACAGATCTCCGACTTCCACATGGTTTCCAGTAGCAGAATGGATCATAGACTTCTAAAGGGTTTCCAGGAGCAGCACAGATAATGGTCCACAAGATTTCTCCTGACAGCTTGGATAACTGACATCCATTTGGTCCATGACATCAACACAGATCACCAACATAACATGTTTGTGGGAGGCATCACAGATCACTATCAGGATGCCTTCTTGTGGCAGTACTAACCACAGACATTGACACAGTCTCCATCAGCATCTGAGTCATGGATATTCAACTGGTCTTCAGCATGCAGCCCAGAGCATGAACATAAACATAGTTTTTGGTGGCAGCAAGGACAAAGATGTCAACATGGTCTCCAGCACCAGGATGGCTTAATGATATCAAAATAGTTTCTGTTGGCAGCTCAGATCATTTATATTGACCTAATCCCCAGCAGCAGCACAGACTACAGTCATCATGGTCATCATCATGGACTCAGGTGTCAACATGGACAATGGACATGCACAAGGTCTAAGATTCCAACAAAGACTATGGCCATAAACATGGTTATCAGCGGCAGCATGAATGAGTGACATCAACATAATTTCAGATGTAAAATCAGATAATGAACATCCACATGGTCAAAACAGGGAACAAAGATCAGTGACATCAACAAGGTTGGTTTCCTGTGGCAGATCATGTACATCATCTTAGTTTCAGGTGGCAGACAAATCACAGAAATCAACATTGTATACATTGCCAACATAAGACACTTACCTGAAGTGGGTCTCAGGTGGTAGTATGCACCACTTATTTCAGCATTGTCTCAGATGATAACAGACTACAGACATCAGTATGGTTACAAGTGGAAGCAAGTTTCAGTAGCATCAACATGGTTGACAGCAACAGCAAAGATCAGTGACATCAACAAAGTTTCAGGTGACAGGTCGAATCATGGATATCAGCAAGGTTAAGACAGGCAGCAAGAATCAGTCACATCAACATGGTTGCCTGTGTCAGTATAGATCATGGATATCAACTTGGTTTCAGGTGGCAGACAGATCATGCAAATCAATATTGTACACATGAGTGGCACAGGAAACTTACTTGAACTGGGTCTCAGGTAGCAGTATGGACGAATGACTTCAACATTGTTTCTGATGACACTGCACACTGCAGACATCAATATGGTTACAGGTGGTAGCAAAGTTCAGTAACCTCAACATGGTTGACAGCTACAACATAGATCAGTAACATCAACAAAGTTTTGGATGGTAGGTTGGATGATGAACATCAACATGGTTAGAAGATGCAGCAAAGAACAGTGACATCAATATGATTTCCTGCAGTGGCATGCATCAAGAGTATTAAATTAGTTCTGGATGGCATGTGGAATCAAGGAAATCAACATTATTTATGTTGGCCGCACAGAATACTTACCTCAATGTGGTCTCAGGTGGAAGGACAGAACATGGACATCAATATCGCATCCAGGGGCAACAAGGACCTCAGGCATCGCCATGGCTCCCTGAAGCAGTAGGGGTTGAATGGTAGGTCAGATCATGGGCAGCAACATAGCTAGCAGAGGCAGCAAGGTTCAGAGACATCAAAATGTTTGCCACTGGCAGTACAAATCAGTGATATCAACACAGCTTTGGGGGGCAAAACAAATCCAAGACAACAACATGGTTAACAAAGGCAGCACAGATCAGGGATAGCAGCATGGTTACTGGTAAAGTATGGAACAAGGACATCAACATGGTCTCTGGTGGTATCAAAGACAAAGACTATCAATGTAGCTTTCAGAATGAGTAGGATCATGGAAATGACATGGTGTCCAGTGGAAAGAGAGACTAGATATGTCAACACAGTTATCAGTGGCAGCATAGCCTCTGCTGTCACACTGAGACAGGAATATCAACATGCTTACCAGAAGTAGGAAGGATCCATAATATCAACATAGTTTTGAATGGAGGGTTGGCTCATGGATATCAACATAGTTAAAACATGCAGCAAGGATCAGTGACATCAATGTGGTGGCCTGAAGAAGCATGGGTGATGAAGTACAGCTTAGATTTGGATAGTAGGTTAGATCAAGAAGAAGAACATACTTTACACTGGCAACAAAAAACATTTACCTCAGCATGGATTCAGGAGTCAGAACAGAACATTGACATCAAGATCATATCCCTGAGCACCAAGAACCACAGGCATCAACATGGCTTCCAGAAGCAGTAGGGACAGCATGGTGGGTCAGATCGTGGTAATTAACATGATAAACAAAAGAAGCAAGAATCAGTGGTATCAACATGGTTCCAGGGACAGAATGAATTACAGATATCAACTTCAGTTCCAATGGCAGATCAACTCATGGAAATCAATATTCTTCATGTTGGCAACACAGAAAACTTACCTCAGCATGGTCTCAGGTGGCAGGTCAGACCATTAACATCAACATCTTATCCAGGAGCAAAACATAACCATAAGGCATCAACATGGACTTCAAACCAAAAGGAATAGCACAAATGAACATGATAAAGAGGACAGCAGGCATCAATGTCATCAACAAGGTTGTAGGTGGTAGCATGTAAATATCAATAGTTTCAGATGGTAGCTGAGATCATGGCAATTAACATTCATCATGTTGGCAGCACAGAACTCTTGCATCAATAGGGTTTCCGGTAGCAGAAGATCTCCATGGATATGGACATCAATGTCATATCTACAGTAAGAAAGACCACAAGCATGAACAAGGCTTCCAGAAATAGTAGGAAGAGCATAGTAGGTCATCCAATCATGGACATCAATTTGGTTAACAGAGGCACATGGGATAAATGGCATCAAAATGGTTTCAGGTGGCATCATGAATTATGGATTTCATCTTACATTTGGATGGTGGGTTAAATCTTGCAAATTAACATTCTGCATGTTGGTAACACAGAATAATAATTTAATACAGTCAAAAGGGGCAGGAGAGATCTTGGAAATCAACAATGTATGTAGTGGTTAAGAAGGACCACAGGCATCTACATGGCTTCCAGAAGAAACAGGAATAGCATGATGTCCTATGTTAGACATCAATTTGATTAACAGAGTAGAATCAATGACATCAACATGGTTGCAGGTGGCAGCATGAATCATAGATATCAACTTATTTTCAGACTGCAGATTAAATCTTGAAAATTAACGTTTTTCTCATTCACAAAACAATGGCAGGAAAGCTAGATATAAACTTCATATTAAGCAGCAAGAAGAACTACAGGCATTAACTTGCCTCCCAGAAATAGTAGGAATACCATGGAATGTCTGACCATGGACTGATCAAAACTGTTAAGAGGGAGCAGGAAACAATGGAATCAACATGTTTATAGACAGCAGCATGAATTATGGATATTAACTTAGTTTCAGATGGTAGTTGATTTCTAGTAAATTTACTTTGTTCATGTTAGAATAACAGAAAATTTATCTTAATATGGTCAAAATTGACCACACAGTTCACCAATATCAAGACGTTATCCATTGGTAACAAGGAGCATGGGAATCAACATCGCTTCCAGAAGGAATAAGAATAGCATGTAAGTTCTGATCATAGGCATTAACATGGTTAACAGAGACAAGTGGGATCAATAAAATGACCATGGATTCAGATGACACCAAGAATTATGGGTATAAAACTAGTTTCCAAGATCAGTGAAATCTTGGAACTTAACATTTCAATGGTTAAATCTTGGAACTTAATATTCTTCATGTTGGTGAGAGAACATTTAATTTAACAAGGTCAAAGACAGCAGGGGAGATCACAAAAAACAATATGGTATCCACTGGTACAAATATGATGGGCATCATCATGGATTTCAAATGTACTAGGAATATCATAATTAGAATCATAAACACCAATATGTCCAACAGAGGCAGGAGGGATCAATGACTTCAACATGTTTGGAGGTGGCACCATTCATTCTGTATATAAACTTAGTTTCAGTTGGTGGTTAAATTCTTGGAAATTAATGTTCTTCACATTGACAGCACAGAACCCTTACATTAACATTGTCACAGGTGGCAAGAGTTCAAGGAAATCTATATGGAATACACTGGCAAGAAGGACCACAGTCATCCACATGGCTTCTAGTAATGCCAGAAATACCATAAGACAATGGATCCTGGACATCCACATGTTTACCAGATGCAGCAGGGATAAATGAATTCAATTTATATGGAGGTAGCAGCAAGTATTCCAGATATCAACTTAGCTTCAGTTAGTATTTCAGTTCATGGAAATTTACATTCCTCATGTTGGAAAAATGTACACTTACCTTAATATCGCCATAAGAGGCCAGGGAGGTCATGGCAATCAAGATGTTATCCCATTAAAACAAAGACCACATGCATCAACATGACTTACAGAACCAATAGGAATGCCTGGCAGGTCCTTTCATAGACATCAACAACGTAAACAGTGGCAGCAGGGGTCAATGACATCAGCACGAGTGCAGGTGTAAACATGAATTACAACTACCAGCTAAGTTAACAAAGGTTCATTATATCTTAGGAATTACCGTTGAATATGTTGCCAAAAAGAACACTTACATTAAAATGGTCACTTGTAGCAGGAGAGATCATGGAAATCAACCTGGTGTCCAGTGGTAAGAAGATCATGAGCATCAACATTGCTTCCAGAAGGAGTAGGAATAGCATTGTGGTTCCAATCGTGGACATGAACATTTTTAAGAGACTCAGCTGAGATTAAAGACCTCAACTTGTTTGGAGGTAGCAGCATGTATTCAGGATATTAACTCAGTTTCTGTTAGTATTTCAATTCTTGTAAATTACATTCTTCATATGAGTAACACAGAACACTTACATGAATAAGGTGATAAGGGAATGGAGAATTCAAAGCAATCAAGGTATTATCCCCTGGTAACAAGGACCACATGAATCAACATGGCTTACAGAACCAACAAATGCATTGGAAGTGCATTCATAGACATCAACAGGGTTAACAGTGGCAACAGGGATCAAGGATATCAGCATGGTAGGAGGTGGCAGCATGAATTATGGATATTTGCTTAGTTACCAATGCTTGATAAATCTTGGAAATTACCATTCTACACATTGCCAAAAAGGAACACTTGCCTTAATATGGCCATAAGGGGCCAGAGAATATATGGCAAACAAGATATTAACCCATGCTAAAAAAGGACCGACTGCAACAACATGGCTTACAGAACCAATAGGAATGCATGGGAGCTCCATTCATTAATATCAACAGAGTTTGCAAAGGCAGCAGTGATCAATGACATCAGTATGGCTGCAGGTGACAGCATGAATTATGTGTATCAGTTACCAAAAGTTGGTTAAATCTTGGAAATTACCATACTATACATTGGCAACAAGAAACACCTATATTAACATGACCACCAGTATCAGGAGAGATTATGTAAACCAACATGATGTCAAGTTGTTTACAAAAACATGAGCATCAACACTGCTACCAGAAGTAGTAGGAAAAGCATTGTACTTCTAAACATGGATATACATATGGGTAACAGAATTAGCAGGGATCAATTAAATCCACAAGGTTTCAAGTGGCAACATGTTGAATGGTTAGCCACATAGTTAACTTTGGTAATTGAGATGAGGAAAATAAACTTTCTTCATAATGGAAAGACTGAACATGGTCTCAAGTAGCAGGACAGATGGATATCAACATCAGATCCATAGTAAGAAAAGAAACCTGGCATCAACATGCTTCCAGAAATAGTAGGAATAGCATGATATGTCTGCTCATGGACATATACATGTCTAATAGATGCAGCAGGGATGAATGAATTCAATTTGGTTGGAGGTGACAACAAGTATTCCTGGTATAAACTTAGTTTCAGTTGGAATTTTGTTCTTAGAAATTTACATTTTTTATTTTGGCAACTCAGAACATTTACATTAATATGGTCATAAGGAGCCAGAGAGTTAATGGCAATCAACATGTTATCCCATGGTAACAGGGACCACATGCATCAACATGGCTTACAGAAACAATAGGAATGCAAGGCAGGTCCTTTCATATACATCATCAAGGTTAACAGAGGAAACAGAGGTCAATGACATCAACATGGGTGCAGGTGGCAGGATGAATTACAGATATCAGCTAAGTTAACAAAGGTTCATTAAATCTTGGAAATTAACATTCTATATATTGTCAAAAAGGTACACTTACCTTAATATGGTCACATGTAATTGGAGAGATCATCAAAGTCACCATGGTGTCTAGTGGTAAGAAGTACATGAGCATGAACATTGCTTCCAGAAGGAGTGGGAATAGCATTGTGGTTCCAATCATGGACATGCACATGTTTAAGAGACTCAGCTGGGATTAATGACCTCAACTTGTTTTGAGGTAGCAGCATGTATTCAGTATATTAACTTAGTTTCTGTTAGTATATCAATTCTTGGAAATTATATTCTTTATATGGGCAACACAAAACACTTACATGAATAAGGTGATAAGGGGATGGAGAATTCAAAGCAGTCAAGGTGTTATCCCCTGGTAACAAGGACCATATGCATCAACATGTCTTACAGAACCAATAGGAATGCATTGGAGGTGCATTCATAGACAACAACAGGATTAACAGTGGCAACAGGGATCAATGACCTCAGCATGGTTGGAGGTTGCCGCATGAATTAGGGATATCTCCTTAGTTACCAATGCTTGTTAAGTATTGGAAATTGGAATTCTACACACTGCCAAAAAGGAACACTTGACTTAATATGGGCATATGGGGCTGGAGAATTTATGGCAAACAAGATGTTAACCCATGCTATAAAGACCACCTGCATCAACATGGCTTACAAAAACAATAGGAATGCATGGGAGCTCCATTCATTAATATCAACAGGGTTTGCAAAGGCAGCAGTGATCAATAGCATCAGCATGGCTGCAGGTGGCATCATGAATGATGTGTATCAACTTATTTACCAAAAGATGGTTAAATCTTGGAAATTACCATTTTATACATTGGCAACAAGGAACACGTATATTAATATCATCAACATATCATCAACGGTAGAAAAAGAGATCATGGAAATCAACATGGTGTCCATTGGTTTACAAGACCATGACCATCAAGAATGTTACCAGAAGTAGTAGGAAAAGCATTATAGTTCCAATCATGAACATCCATATGGGTAACGGAAGCAGCAGGGATCAATTAAATCCACAAGGTTTCAGGTGGTAGCATGTTGAATGGATAGCCACATAGTTTACTATGGTAGTTGAGATCAGGGAAATTAACATTCTTCTTGTGGAAAAGACAGAACTCTTGCATCAACATGGTCTCAGGTAGGAGGACAGATGGACATCAACATCAGATCCATGGGCAAGAAAGAACCCTGGCATCAACATGGCTTCCAGAAATAGTAGGAATTGCATGGTATGTCTGCTCATGGACATCTGCATGTTTAACAGATGTAGCGGGGATGAATGAATTCAATTTGGTAGGAGGTGACAACAAGTATTCCAGGTGTCAACTTAGTATCAGTTGGTATTTTTGTTCTTGGAATATACATTTTTTATGTTGGCAACACAAAACATATACATCAATATCATCATAAGGGACCAGAGAGGTCATGGTAATCAAGATGTTATGCCATGGTAACAAGGACTGTATGCATCCACATGGCATACAGAAACAATAGGAATTCCTGTCAGGTCCTTTCATAGACATCAACAAGGTTAACAGAGGCAGCAACAGTCAATGACATCAGCATGGTTGCAGGTGGCAGCATGAATTGCAAATATCAGCTAAGTTAACAAAGGTTCATGAAATCTTGGAAATTACCATTCTATATATTGCCAAAAAGGAAACTTACCTTAATATGGTCACCAGTAGCAGGAGAGATCATGGAAGTCACCATGGTGTCCAGTGGTAAGAAGATCATGAGCATCAACATTGCTTCCAGAAGGAGTAGGAATAGCATTGTAGTTCCAATCATGGACATGCACATGTTTAAGACACTCAGCTGGATTAAATGAACTGAACTTGTTTGGAGGTAGCAGCATGTATTCAGGATATTAACTTAGTTTCTGTTAGTATTTCAATTTTGGAAATTACATTTTTCATATTGCCAACACAGAACACTTGCAAAAATAAAGTAATACTGGAATGGAGAATTCATAGCAATCAAGGTGTTATCCCATGGTAACAAGGACCACATGCATCAACATGGCTTACAGAACCAACAGGAATGCATGGGAGCTCCATTCATTAATATCAACAGGGTTTGCAAATGCAGCAGTGATCAATGGACATCAACATGGCTGCAGTTGGCAGGATGAATAATGTGTATCAAGTTAGTTACCAAAAGTTGGTTAAATCTTGGAAATTATCATTCTATACATTGGCAACAAGAAACACTTACCTTACGGTGGTGACTTGTAGCAGGAGAGATCATAGAAATCAACATGGTGCCCAGTATAAGAAGATAATGAGCATCAACATTGCTTCCAGAAATAGTAGGAATGGTATTGTGCCTCCAATCATGGACATCCACATGGTTAACAGAAGCAGTAGGGATCAATTTTATCCACAGTGTTTCAAATGGCAAAATGTAGAATGGATAGCCACACAGTTTACTTTGGTACTTGAGATCAGAGAAATTAACTTTCTTCATGATGGAAAGACAGAACACTTGCACCAACATGGTGTCAGGTAGGAGGACAGATAGACATCAACATTATATCCATGTGCAAGAAAGAACACTGGCATCAATGTGGCTTCCAGAAATAGTAGGAATAGCATGGTATGTCCGCTCAGGAACATCCACATGTTTAACAGACGGAGCATGGATGAATGAATTCGATTTTTTTGGAGGTGACAGCAAATATTCCGGGTATCAACTTAGTTTCAGTTGGTATTTCAATTCTTGGAAATTTACATTCTTTATGATGGCAACACAGAACCCTTCCATCAATATGGTCATAAGGGGCCAGAGAGGTCATGGCAATCAAAATGTTATCCCATGGTAACAAGGACCATATGCATCAACATGGCTTACAGAAACAACAGGAATGTGTTGGAGGTGCATTCATAGACATCTACAGGTTTAACAGTTGCAACAGGGATCAATGACATCAGCATGGTTGGAGATGGCATCATGAATTATGGATATCTGCTTAGTTACAAATACTTGTTAAATCTTGGAAAATACCATTCTACACATTGCCCAAAAGGAACACTTGCCTTAATATGGCCATAAGAGGCTGTAGAATTTATGGCAATCAAGATGTTCACCCATGGTATAAAGGACCACCTGCATCAACATGGCTTACAAAAACAATAGGAATGCATGGGAGCTCCATTCATTAATATCAGCAGCGTTGGCAAAGGAAGCAGGGATCAATGACCTCAGTATGGCCGAAGGTGGCAGCATGAATTATGTGTATCAACTTAGTTACCAAAAGTTGG